ACACCACACCTGCTCCTGCTCCCTGCTCACACAGGCCACACCTGCTCCTGCTCCCTGCTCACACAGGCCAAACCTGCTCCTGCTCCCTGCTTACACAGACCACACCTGCTCCTCCTCCTTGCTCACACAGGCCACACCTGCTCCTGCTCCCTGCAACCACAGGCCACACCTGCTCCTCCTCCTTGCTCACACAGGCCACACCTGCTCCTGCTCCCTGCTCACACAGGCCACACCTGCTCCTGCTCCCTGCTCACACAGGCCAAACCTGTTCCTGCTCCCTGCTCACACAGGCCACACCTGCTCCTGCTCCCTGCTAACACAGGCCACACCTGCTCCTGCTCCCTGCTCACACAGACCACACCTGCTCCTCCTCCTTGCTCACACAGGCCACACCTGCTCCTGCTCCCTGCTCACACAGGCCACACCTGCTCCTGCTCCCTGCTAACACAGGCCACACCTGCTCCTGCTCCCTGCTCACACAGACCACACCTGCTCCTGCTCCTTGCTCACACAGGCCACACCTGCTCCTGCTCCCTGCTAACACAGGCCACACCTGCTCCTGCTCCCTGCTCACACAGACCACACCTACTCCTGCTCCTTGCTCACACAGGCCACACCTGCTCCTGCTCCCTGCTAACACAGGCCACACCTGCTCCTGCTCCCTGCTCACACAGACCACACCTGCTCCTCCTCCTTGCTCACACAGGCCACACCTGCTCCTGCTCCCTGCTAACACAGGCCACACCTGCTCCTGCTCCCTGCTCACACAGGCCACACCTGCTCCTGCTCCCTGCTAACACAGGCCACACCTGCTCCTGCTCCCTGCTCACACAGGCCACACCTGCTCCTGCTCCTTGCTCACACAGGCCACACCTGCTCCTGCTCCCTGCTCACACAGACCACACCTACTCCTGCTCCTTGCTCACACAGGCCACACCTGCTCCTGCTCCCTGCTAACACAGGCCACACCTGCTCCTGCTCCCTGCTCACACAGACCACACCTGCTCCTCCTCCTTGCTCACACAGGCCACACCTGCTCCTGCTCCCTGCTAACACAGGCCACACCTGCTCCTGCTCCCTGCTCACACAGACCACACCTGCTCCTCCTCCTTGCTCACACAGGCCACACCTGCTCCTGCTCCCTGCTCACACAGGCCACACCTGCTCCTGCTCCCTGCTCACACAGGCCACACCTGCTCCTGCTCCCTGCTAACACAGACCACACCTGCTCCTGCTCCCTGCTCACACAGACCACACCTGCTCCTGCTCCCTGCTCACACAGGCCACACCTGCTCCAGCTCCCTGCTCACACAGTCCACACCTGCTCCTGCTCACACAGACCACACCTGCTCCTGCTCCCTGCTCACACAGGCCACACCTGCTCCAGCTCCCTGCTCACACAGTCCACACCTGCTCCTGCTCACACAGACCACACCTGCTCCTGCTCCCTGCTAACACAGACCACACCTGCTCCTGCTCCCTGCTCACACAGTCCACACCTGCTCCTGCTCACACAGACCACACCTGCTCCTGCTCCCAGCTCACACAGACCACACCTGCTCCTGCTCCCTGCTCACACAGTCCACACCTGCTCCTGCTCACACAGACCACACCTGCTCCAGCTCCTTGCTCACACAGGCCACACCTGCTCCTGCTCCCTGCTAACACAGGCCACACCTGCTCCTGCTCCCTGCTCACACAGACCACACCTACTCCTGCTCCTTGCTCACACAGGCCACACCTGCTCCTGCTCCCTGCTAACACAGGCCACACCTGCTCCTGCTCCCTGCTCACACAGACCACACCTGCTCCTCCTCCTTGCTCACACAGGCCACACCTGCTCCTGCTCCCTGCTCACACAGGCCACACCTGCTCCTGCTCCCTGCTCACACAGGCCACACCTGCTCCTGCTCCCTGCTAACACAGACCACACCTGCTCCTGCTCCCTGCTCACACAGGCCACACCTGCTCCAGCTCCCTGCTCGCACAGGCCACACCTGCTCCTGCTCCCTGCTCACACAGGCCACACCTGCTCCAGCTCCCTGCTCACACAGTCCACACCTGCTCCTGCTCACACAGACCACATCTGCTCCTGCTCCCTGTCACACAGGCCACACCTGCTCCAGCTCCCTGCTCACACAGTTCACACCTGCTCCTGCTCACACAGACCACACCTGCTCCTGCTCCCTGCTAACACAGACCACACCTGCTCCTGCTCCCTGCTCACACAGTCCACACCTGCTCCTGCTCACACAGACCACACCTGCTCCTGCTCCCAGCTCACAGACCACACCTGCTCCTGCTCCCTGCTCACACAGTCCACACCTGCTCCTGCTCACACAGACCACACCTGCTCCTGCTCCTGCTCACACAGGCCACACCTGCTCCTGCTCACATAGACCACACCTGCTCCTGCTCCCTGCTCACACAGGCCACACCTGCTCCCTGCTCACACAGGCCATACCTTCTCCTGCTCCCTGCTCACACAGGCCATACCTGCTCTTGCTCCCTGCTCACACAGGCCACACCTGCTCCTGCTCCCTGCTCACACAGGCACCACCTGCTCCCTGCTCACACAGGCCATACCTGCTCCTGCTCCCTGCTCACACAGGCCACACCTGCTCCTGCTCCCTGCTCACACAGGCCATACCTGCTCCTGCTCCCTGCTCACACAGGCCACACCTGCTCCTGCTCCCTGCTCACACAGGCCACACCTGCTCCTGCTCCCTGCTCACACAGGCCACACCTGCTCCTGCTCCCTGCTCACACAGGCCACACCTGCTCCTGCTCCCTGCTAACACAGGCCACACCTGCTCCTGCTCCCTGCTCACACAGACCACACCTACTGCTGCTCCTTGCGCACACAGGCCACACCTGCTCCTGCTCCCTGCTAACACAGGCCACACCTGCTCCTGCTCCCAGCTCACACAGACCACACCTGCTCCTCCTCCTTGCTCACACAGGCCACACCTGCTCCTGCTCCCTGCTCACACAGGCCACACCTGCTCCTGCTCCCTGCTAACACAGACCACACCTGCTCCTGCTCCCTGCTCACACAGGCCACACCTGCTCCAGCTCCCTGCTCACACAGGCCACACCTGCTCCTGCTCCCTGCTCACACAGGCCACACCTGCTCCTGCTCCCTGCTCACACAGGCCACACCTGCTCCTGCTCCCTGCTAACACAGACCACACCTGCTCCTGCTCCCTGCTCACACAGGCCACACCTGCTCCAGCTCCCTGCTCACACAGGCCACACCTGCTCCTGCTCCCTGCTCACACAGGCCACACCTGCTCCAGCTCCCTGCTCACACAGGCCACACCTGCTCCTGCTCCCTGCTAACACAGACCACACCTGCTCCTGCTCCCTGCTCACACAGGCCACACCTGCTCCAGCTCCCTGCTCACACAGGCCACACCTGCTCCTGCTCCCTGCTCACACAGGCCACACCTGCTCCAGCTCCCTGCTCACACAGTCCACACCTGCTCCTGCTCACACAGACCACACCTGCTCCTGCTCCCTGCTCACACAGGCCACACCTGCTCCAGCTCCCTGCTCACACAGTCCACACCTGCTCCTGCTCACACAGACCACACCTGCTCCTGCTCCCTGCTAACACAGACCACACCTGCTCCTGCTCCCTGCTCACACAGCCTGCTCCTGCTCCCTGCTCACACAGACCACACCTGCTCCTGCTCCCAGCTCGCAGACCACACCTGCTCCAGCTCCCTGCTCACACAGTCCACACCTGCTCCTGCTCACACAGACCACACCTGCTCCTGCTCCCTGCTCACACAGGCCACACCTGCTCCTGCTCACATAGACCACACCTGCTCCTGCTCCCTGCTCACACAGGCCACACCTGCTCCCTGCTCACACAGGCCATACCTGCTCCTGCTCCCTGCTCACACAGGCCATACCTGCTCTTGCTCCCTGCTCACACAGGCCACACCTGCTCCTGCTCCCTGCTCACACAGGCCACACCTGCTCCCTGCTCACACAGGCCATTCCTGCTCCTGCTCCCTGCTCACACAGGCCACACCTGCTCCTGCTCCCTGCTCACACAGGCCATACCTGCTCCTGCTCCCTGCTCACACAGGCAACACCTGCTCCTGCTCACACAGGCCACACCTGCTCCTGCTCCCTGCTCACACAGGCCACACCTGTTCCTGCTCCCTGCTCACACAGACCACACCTGCTCCTGCTCCCTGCTCACACAGGCCACACCTGCTCCCTGCTCACACAGGCCATACCTGCTCCTGCTCCCTGCTCACACAGGCCACACCTGCTCCTGCTCCCTGCTCACACAGGCCATACCTGCTCCTGCTCCCTGCTCACACAGACCACACCTGCTCCTGCTCCCTGCTCACACAGGCCACACCTGCTCCTGCTCCCTGCTCACACAGGCCACACCTGCTCCTGCTCCCTGCTCACACAGGCCATACCTGCTCCTGCTCCCTGCTCACACAGGCCACACCTGCTCCTGCTCCCTGCTCACACAGGCCACACCTGCTCCTGCTCCCTGCTCACACAGGCCATACCTGCTCCTGCTCCCTGCTCACACAGGCCACACCTGCTCCTGCTCCCTGCTCACACAGGCCATACCTGCTCCTGCTTACACTGCGGAAATACATACGAATAATGTATGGATGTATTGACGGGCGCCTGACAGCTGGATGGACAGCGCTTCGGATTCGTAGTCCTGAGGTTCCGGGTTCGATTCCCGGTGGAGGCGGAGACAAATGGGCAAAATGTTTCTTTCACCCTGATGCCGCTGTTACCTAGCAGTAAATAGGTACCTGGGAGTTAGACAGCTGCTATGAGCTGCTTCCTGGGGGTAGAAGCTTGGTCAAGGACCGGGCCGCGGGGACGCTAACCCCGAAATCATCTGAAGATAACCTCAAGATACACATACATGTAGCGCATGTTATGCGCCCGCCAGCAACACCATCACAGAACGATTTAAGTGTTAAAGAAGATTATGTGAAGCAAGCGAGGAGATGCCTCGCACCAGTGAGATGCCTCGCAGCAGTGAGGAGATGCCTCGCACCAGTGAGATGCCTCGCAGCAGTGAGGAGATGCCTCGCACCAGTGAGATGCCTCGCAGCAGTGAGGAGATGCCTCGCACCAGTGTGGAGATGCCTCGCACCAGTGAGATGCCTCGCACCAGTGAGGAGATGCCTCGCACCAGTGAGGAGATGCCTCGCACGAGTGAGGAGATGCGTCGCACCAGTGAGATGCCTCGCAGCAGTGAGATGCCTCGCAGCAGTGAGGAGATGCCTCGCACCAGTGAGGAGATGCCTCGCACCAGTGAGGAGATGCCTCGCACCAGTGAGGAGATGCCTCGCACCAGTGAGGAGATGCCTCGCACCAGTGAGGAGATGCCTCGCACCAGTGAGGAGATGCCTCGCAGTGAGACCAGTGAGGAGATGCCTGGCACCAGTGTGGAGATGCCTGGCACCAGTGAGGAGATGCCTCGCACCAGTGAGGAGATGCCTGGCACCAGTGTGGAGATGCCTGGCACCAGTGAGGAGATGCCTCGCACCAGTGAGGAGATGCCTCGCACCAGTGAGGAGATGCCTCGCACCAGTGAGGAGATGCCTGGCACCAGTGTGGAGATGCCTGGCACCAGTGAGGAGATGCCTCGCACCAGTGAGGAGATGCCTCGCACCAGTGAGGAGATGCCTCGCACCAGTGAGGAGATGCCTCGCACCAGTGAGGAGATGCCTCGCACCAGTGAGATGCCTCGCACCAGTGAGATGCCTCGCACCAGTGAGGAGATGCCTCGCACCAGTGAGGAGATGCCTCGCACCAGTGAGGAGAGGCCTCGCACCAGTGAGGAGATGCCTGGCACCAGTGAGGAGATGCCTCGCACCAGTGAGGAGATGCCTGGCACCAGTGAGGAGATGCCTCGCACCAGTGAGGAGATGCCTCGCACCAGTGAGGAGATGCCTGGCACCAGTGAGGAGATGCCTCGCACCAGTGAGGAGATGCCTCGCACCAGTGAGGAGATGCCTCGCACCAGTGAGGAGATGCCTCGCACCAGTGAGGAGATGCCTCGCACCAGTGAGGAGATGCCTCGCACCAGTGAGGAGATGCCTCGCACCAGTGAGGAGATGCCTCGCACCAGTGAGGAGATGCCTCGCACCAGTGAGGAGATGCCTGGCACCAGTGAGGAGATGCCTCGCACCAGTGAGGAGATGCCTCGCACCAGTGAGGAGATGCCTCGCACCAGTGAGGAGATGCCTCGCACCAGTGAGGAGATGCCTCGCACCAGTGAGGAGATGCCTCGCACCAGTGAGGAGATGCCTCGCACCAGTGAGGAGATGCCTCGCACCAGTGAGGAGATGCCTCGCACCAGTGAGGAGATGCCTCGCACCAGTGAGGAGATGCCTCGCACCAGTGAGGAGATGCCTCGCACCAGTGAGGAGATGCCTCGCACCAGTGAGGAGATGCCTCGCACCAGTGAGGAGATGCCTCGCACCAGTGAGGAGATGCCTCGCACCAGTGAGGAGATGCCTCGCACCAGTGAGGAGATGCCTCGCACCAGTGAGGAGATGCCTCGCACCAGTGAGGAGATGCCTCGCACCAGTGAGGAGAGCCTCGCACCAGTGAGAGATGCCTCGCACCAGTGAGGAGATGCCTCGCACCAGTGAGGAGATGCCTCGCACCAGTGAGGAGATGCCTCGCACCAGTGAGGAGATGCCTGGCACCAGTGAGGAGACGCCTCGCACCAGTGAGGAGACGCCTCGCACCAGTGAGGAGATGCCTCGCACCAGTGAGGAGATGCCTCGCACCAGTGAGGAGATGCCTCGCACCAGTGAGGAGATGCCTCGCACCAGTGAGGAGATGCCTCGCACCAGTGAGGAGATGCCTCGCACCAGTGAGGAGATGCCTCGCACCAGTGAGGAGATGCCTCGCACCAGTGAGGAGATGCCTCGCACCAGTGAGGAGATGCCTGGCACCAGTGAGGAGACGCCTCGCACCAGTGAGGAGACGCCTCGCACCAGTGAGGAGATGCCTCGCACCAGTGAGGAGATGCCTCGCACCAGTGAGGAGATGCCTCGCACCAGTGAGGAGATGCCTCGCACCAGTGAGGAGATGCCTCGCACCAGTGAGGAGATGCCTCGCACCAGTGAGGAGATGCCTCGCACCAGTGAGATGCCTCGCACCAGTGAGATGCCTCGCACCAGTGAGGAGATGCCTCGCACCAGTGAGGAGAGGCCTCGCACCAGTGAGGAGATGCCTCGCACCAGTGAGGAGATGCCTCGCACCAGTGAGATGCCTCGCACCAGTGAGATGCCTCGCACCAGTGAGGAGATGCCTCGCACCAGTGAGATGCCTCGCACCAGTGAGATGCCTCGCACCAGTGAGGAGAGGCCTCGCACCAGTGAGGAGATGCCTCGCACCAGTGAGGAGATGCCTCGCACCAGTGAGGAGAGGCCTCGCACCAGTGAGGAGAGGCCTCGCACCAGTGAGGAGATGCCTCGCACCAGTGAGGAGAGGCCTCGCACCAGTGAGGAGATGCCTCGCACCAGTGAGGAGAGGCCTCGCACCAGTGAGGAGACGCCTCGCACCAGTGAGGAGATGCCTCGCACCAGTGAGGAGAGGCCTCGCACCAGTGAGGAGATGCCTCGCACCAGTGAGGAGAGGCCTCGCACCAGTGAGGAGATGCCTCGCACCAGTGAGGAGAGGCCTCGCACCAGTGAGGAGAGGCCTCGCACCAGCCGTGACGCAGCACCTCGCGGGGCTCGTCAAGGAGGCACCAAACTTACCAGAACCCAAGATTTGGAAACAAATAAGGAAACGTCGTGCTGGTCTCTGTGCTGCGGGTCAGTACACAAGTAATGGGAAGCGTCGAATCATGTCAGATATAACACAGAAATTGTGTTATACCTGAAACTCCACAGAAATTGTGTTATACCTGAAACTCCACAGAAATTGTGTTATACCTGAAACTCCACAGAAATTGTGTTATACCTGAAACTGCACAGAAATTGTGTTATACCTGAAACTGCACAGAAATTGTGTTATACCTGAAACTCCACAGAAATTGTGTTATACCTGAAGCTGCACAGAAATTGTGTTATACCTGAAGCTGCACAGAAATTGTGTTATACCTGAAACTGCACAGAAATTGTGTTATACCTGAAACTGCACAGAAATTGTGTTATACCTGAAACTGCACAGAAATTTTGTTATACCTGAAACTGCACAGAAATTGTGTTATACCTGAAACTCCACAGAAATTGTGTTATACCTGAAACTCCACAGAAATTGTGTTATACCTGAAACTCCACAGAAATTGTGTTATACCTGAAGCTGCACAGAAATTGTGTTATACCTGAAGCTGCACAGAAATTGTGTTATAGCTGCACAGAAATTGTGTTATACCTGAAACTGCACAGAAATTGTGTTATACCTGAAACTCCACAGAAATTGTGTTATACCTGAAACTCCACAGAAATTGTGTTATACCTGAAACTCCACAAATTGTGTTATACCTGAAGCTGCACAGAAATTGTGTTATACCTGAACAGAAATTGTGTTATACCTGAAACTCCACAGAAATACCTGAAACTCCACAGAAATTGTGTTATACCTGAAACTCCACAGAAATTGTGTTATACCTGAAGCTGCACAGAAATTGTGTTATACCTGAAACTCCACAGAAATTGTGTTATACCTGAAACTGCACAGAAATTGTGTTATACCTGAAACTGCACAGAAATTGTGTTATACCTGAAACTGCACAGAAATTGTGTTATACCTGAAACTGCACAGAAATTGTGTTATACCTGAAACTGCACAGAAATTGTGTTATACCTGAAACTGCACAGAAATTGTGTTATACCTGAAACTGCACAGAAATTGTGTTATACCTGAAACTGCACAGAAATTGTGTTATACCTGAAACTGCACAGAAATTGTGTTATACCTGAAACTGCACAGAAATTGTGTTATACCTGAAACTGCACAGAAATTGTGTTATACCTGAAACTGCACAGAAATTGTGTTATACCTGAAACTGCACAGAAATTGTGTTATACCTGAAACTGCACAGAAATTGTGTTATACCTGAAACTGCACAGAAATTGTGTTATACCTGAAACTGCACAGAAATTGTGTTATACCTGAAACTCCACAGAAATTGACAAAACGACGACTAGATTAAGGCTGTGACACACGTGACTGGCAGCACACAGCTCTAAACACACGACTGACACCAACAGACTCTCCGTCCACTGTCATGTGCGGGGAACAATGGAACAACACCTCCTTCACTGTGTGCCACATCACAGTGCCAGAGTTAACTTCATACAAGTACTTATCAGCTCTTAAATACCTTGTAACATCGAGCGTATATTTGGAAGAGTTGACCTCTCATTACACATCAAATTTCAAATAGCCAAAGCACTGACTAAATACCTCCAGTCGACCACCAAACTTGGCCACATGTGACCTGTGTATATACCTGGCACCCCTGACACCCCAGAGTGTCACAGGTGTGCAACAGAAGCAGAGGCGCCATTATTGCACTACTTACTGGCATGTGAAGCAAGTGAAGCCTTGCGCATCATACTCAACAGTAAACCAACGACAACAGCTGCATTAGACGCTGCACTCTACAGCGACTACAATGGTTAGAAAAGCAGTTGAAGACTGAGCCACACTAGTGAACACTGGACATCTATATCCCCACCAAGATAATGTTTTTAAACCAAGACTAAAACCAGTGTGCTAAATCTGAAACAGAAAAGAAACGGGAGAAAAGGAGAAAAACCCGACCTTCATTTAAAACTTTGACCCAAATATCACAGTAACAAAGTTATAACCGAACCCAATTACGGGTTCACCATAGCCAGAGTCACATGGACATTTCGTTGTGAGTAGCTAAACCTTAAACAACAACAACAACCACCCACAAACACTGAACAAAACGCTTCACCAGAGCACCACGGATCAGGTGACGCCTCCCGCCGTACACTGTCTCTCCCTCTTAACACACCACAGTGTTAAGTCTCCGCTCTCTACCTACACCACAACACAACACAACACACCACAGTGTTAAGTCTCCGCTCTCTACCTACACCACAACACAACACACCACACCACAGTGTTAAGTCTCCGCTCCTCTACCTACACCACAACACAACACACCACACCACAGTGTTAAGTCTCCGCTCCTCTACCTACACCACAACACAACACACCACACCACAGTGTTAAGTCTCCGCTCCTCTACCTACACCACAACACAACACACCACACCACAGTGTTAAGTCTCCGCTCTCTACCTACACCACAACACAACACACCACACCACAGTGTTAAGTCTCCGCTCTCTACCTACACCACAACACAACACACCACACCACAGTGTTAAGTCTCCGCTCCTCTACCTACACCACAACACAACACACCACACCACAGTGTTAAGTCTCCGCTCTCTACCTACACCACAACACAACACACCACACCACAGTGTTAAGTCTCCGCTCTCTACCTACACCACAACACAACACACGACTCTTCTAACCTCGTCATTGTAAACACTGAGGCTCTAGGGTGACCCGTCTGCCACCACCAGTACTGGTGCAGTCATCGGGAGGGTCAACCCTTCATGCACACTACCATCATGAAGGTATAGGCCTCCACAATACTGTAGGCCTATATGTGACCTCCAGGCTGTGGCCAGGCCTCTTGGTGCTGCCACACTATCTAGAGTGTAACACAAGCTCGGAGCGGCACCATAAGAGAGGCCGTGTTGTAATGTATCGTTTACATACACGTATTTTGCGTGATTAGACACTCAGAGTTTAGTGTTATTATTTTTATTTATTTAGTATAGTGTTGGTTACAACAGTCGGTCTCTGGAGAGTGTAGAGAAGTGACATAGAAGTTGAGCCACAGCCTGGGGCAGGACAGAGAGTTGAGTGAGGCCGGGGGTAAAGAGCTGGGATGCGGGGTGAGAGTCATAGAGCGTGACGCTGTGAATGCTGCTGGAGTGGAGAAGGTGAGTGAGGGAGGAGAGCGTGGAAGGTGGATGGTGCCGGGTCTCGCTGGCTGCTCTGTGTGTGGAGGCTGACGCGTCGTGTGAGGGGCAGGAGCTGGACACTTAGTAGTGTTGGTGTTGGTGGTGAGGGTGACCATGTGCGGTGTCCCTCACCCGTCCGCTCTCAACCACTCTTGTTATTACAGTCATGAGGATTGTTGTTGTTGTTGTTGTTGTTTCAGATTCAGCCACACGCAACAAAAGGTTCCAAGTAGCACGGGCTATGGCGAGCCCGTATTGGACTAACCTGGCACAAGAGCTGGGCTGTAACTTGATTATGATTGATTGATGATTGATGAAGATTAAGCCACCCAAGAGGTGGCACCGGCATGAATAGCCCGAAGTGATGATGATTTGTTGTTGTTGTTGTTTTAGACTTAGTTACTCAGAACAAAATGTCCTCGTAGCACGGCCAATGGTGAGCCCGTAATTGAGTTCGGTTATTCGAGATAACCTTGTTACTCTGATATTTGGGTCCAAGTAATAAATGGAGGTGGGGTTTCCTTCTTTTTCCCTGTTTCTTTTTCGCTTCTGTTTTAGTACACTTGTTTTAGTCTTGTTTTAATAACATTATCTTGGTGGGGGATGTAGGTGCAGAATGTTCACTAGTGAGTAACATTCTTCAACGGCTTTTCTAAACATTGTAGTCGCGGTGGATTGTGCATCTCATGCAGCTGTTGTCGTTGGATTAGTGTTGAGTCAATTTGAAAAAACATTGCAGTAGCCATTCACAGACTCAGACTTGGTTACAAGTGCTGCTGGGAGGTAATGAACCCAATAGTTAAAGAGTTTCATATCTGTGGAACAGAAGTAGAGGCGCCTCTATTGCACTACTTACTGGAATGTGAAGCTACTGAGGCCCTGCGCATCAAACTCAAGGAGGGGGCATTATTTCCCCTGAAAGAGTAGTACCCAGTGGCTTGTTCGTACCATATCGCAGTGGATCTTCCTTCCGCTACTTTGACTCTGTGGCGACTTTTGATTGTTGGGAGTATTTTCTTCTTGATTTGCGCCTTAATCTGTGAAAAACTTGGAGGTGTTTGAATAGGTAGAGCAATGTACAACAGGTAGAGGAGTGGCAGTTTTTGCTTGTGAGTCTGCCTTTCCATTGCCATCTATGCCAATGTGACTTGGTATCCAATTTAGGGTGATTGACAGCCTTAGATTATGGGCTTCTTTTCCTATACGTTGGATTTTTGTGAGGAGTTGTACATTATCTCTGTGCTGACTGATAACAATGCCTGGAGCGATGATGATTTGCTATCGCCTGCTTATATTACCAGTCCTACACCTCACCTGACCTCCCTCCACAAGTGTTACCCGCACTTCGGGAAGAATGATCAATTGTAACTAGTGGACTAAGTAGAACTAACAGACCCATCTCATTACCTGCACATACGCTACTGAGAACATGGAACAAGTATGTTACTGACATGATATACTTGCTACAGTGTCTGGAGGCAGCGTTACTTTCCGCTACTTGGGAAATATTCTCACTGACCTAGCGAGTCACCTTATGTCTTTAAAAGTCACTTTAACCTAACATTTTGGGCTCTAACTCACTCTCATGATCAGCTCTTTCCCTTTGACATTTATTTTGTGAAAATATTTCAAGAATATTAAAGAAAAAAACCTTTCCGTAAACACAGACGCCACACCACCACTCTCTACTCCTATTCCAGCACCTGTCCTTTTCACCATTAATTTTACAAATTAAAGAAATTAATTCAGATTTAGAAGAACTAAGAAATGCCCAAAGACCTGAAAGCTGCAGTATTAAAAGTTATGACAA